TATTTACGAATAATTAAATACAAGGAATAATTCCAAGATCACTGATGATGGATATTTGGCAATATTTGAAACAGCTGTATGGAAGAGTTAAAAATTCAATTAATTAAAATAATATAAAAATAATTTTTGTTGTTGTAGTTCACTACTTTTCGAAACCTCTCTATTTATTATATATTGCAATTGTCTTTCACAATAAAGATAGGAAGACAAATAAAGATGGATAGATATTATGTATCTAATTACATACATATGTTGAGTTGAGTTCCAATAGTGAGCTGTTATCAACTATGTATCGATAAGTCTTCCTATAGAAAATACTTGAATAATATGATATATTGATATATGATATACTTAATGTCACGGTCCAAGCTTTACATATGTATATCAGAAAAAAAAATTGATCATAATCTAAATATGTTATATGAAGTGTGTTTTATTTATGTTTACTTTTGATACCATTAAGTGGGCAACCCTTTTTAAAATAAAATAAAAAAATGCAGTTTATCTGTAAAAGTGTCTGTAGAAAATACTTGAGCAATGTTATTTCTAGTTTATACGTAGGTTTGGGCAAGAGAAATAGATTGAAATAAAAACTTGTTCGTTAATCTCAATCAGATATGCGTTTTATTTAAATGTACTTTGGATAACCCTATGCAACTTAGTTGTAAATTTAAATATAAAAAAAAACGATTTATCTTTATAACAATATAAATTATTTCTTATCTATTTTTTTGTTCACAGTGTTATGAATGAACAAGTAATTCATACTTGTGAACAATCTACGTTTAAGTCCCGCAAATATTAGATACATTTACATGAAGCAAATATATGACTATATGTATATATATGAAGTATGAATTTCTGCCTGAATTATTTCAGAAATTGAGTGATATTGCAATACTATTCCAAATCGAACTCTTGACAAGTTCCCAATAAAGCAGGTAAGTCCAGAGTATGCTAAATAATTTTATTGACACTACGAACTGTAAATAGATGCGGCTCCATTCCAATTGCTGATAATAGAGACAAATTTTTTAGCAATTGAAGGCACTTATAAGTAAGTAAAAAAAATTAATGATTTATTTTTTAAAAATTTATTGAATTATTCAACAATAAATAAAGTTTTATTTGCTTAAAAAAGTTATAAATTGATTGCTTAGCGGCATTAATAAAATAATTATTAATAAATACATTTATAAAATTTACATGTAATATACACGCACAAATACATTTAAGTTTTTATACTGCACAACTATAAAAAATTTGTTTATAAAGTACACAGTTTATAAAGTTTAATTAAGGCACTAAAGTTCTCTTTCAGCTTAGATACAAGTGAACTTAAGACTAAAGTTAAGATTAAAGTAATGATTGTTAAAATGACTATCAATGGCATTTAGCATGAAGGTGACTTTGGGTACTTTGGGTACTTCTAACTTCTAAAGTGACTTAAAGTTTTAATGAAGATGTTTCAATACTTATTTTTAGAAATTCAGTGAAATTAGCTTATTTAAAGCAATTTTGCTAAAATTAAATTTTGATTCTCGGAGTTAATCGACAACTGTCGCCTAACCACCATTGTTCGATGTTGCGATAGGTTTGCGTCTTTTGCTGATTTGTAACGCTATGAAGCTGCGCGCATAGTTCACAGAAAGGTGAAAAGTAACCCAGTTTATAGTGCTCTCGCCACCAGAAATAACGCAAGTACTCTTTCGGATGCGTGGATAAATATTTAAGATACATTGCTAGTTGTTCGACACTTTCGAATTCTTCTGCATTTATGTACGAACGCGGTGGTAAAAATAGTTCGTAGTTTGCACCTCCATAGACAATTGGTATAACCTGTCGTCTCAGTGCATTGTATATTTTCTCCGTCACATAATCCCGGCATAATGAATTCTCAAATGATAAATAAAATTTATATTCCTTGTCAAGCATCTCATCGCATTCACTTTCCTTATATGGACAACTGCAAATTAAATTAAAGAGAGATTAATAATTTTTTAATATTTATATTATAATATTTTCACTAACAAATGTTTAATTTATAAATGTTAATGTTGCATAAATGTATAAATATTTAATAATTTTAATTAATTCAATTATAATAATCATTCTTATACCATGTTTCTACTGCTCACTTAGTAAATTACTTGAGTAACTAAGATTTTATCGTTTACATTGATAAAAGTTACTCATTGCATTTTTTTTTATTTATTAATAAAATGTCTTTATAGAATCACTTTAAATTAAAGCCTAACAACAAGTTTTAGAATTTTAAGGACTAATAACATTACATTACAAATTATTTTAAAAAACATACTATAATGATTTGTAAATTATTTAACGAGGCCTTGGAATAAGTAGCCAGGTCTTAAACAGGATAATCCTTAGGAAAGCAAAATGGCAGTCTATCATTCCGTTTCAGCCTAGAGGAATTTATCATATTAGTAAGAGGTCTAGCCAGCGAATTCACATGGTTTTCAAGATTTGAAACATGTTTCTGCCTTATTTTCTTGATTTTAACCATCGGAACTTCCAAATCGAAATGTATGCTCTCATTTCTAATAAACTAGGGTGCACCGCCCATCTGTCTTAGAATCATTACTTGAGCACTTTGCAAAATTTTTACGTTTGACGAACAGGCATTGCCATATAACTTATTGCATGTGAAAGGAATTTTATGTGTGAGAAAGTTCTTTAAAAATACTAAGAGAGCTTATGTTAGTTTAAAAAAATTTCACTCATTGTAATATCTCATAAGAAATTAAATATACAATTGATATATTAAATTATTTAAGTATGTATACATATATTTTATAAATCTCTTATATACTTAATTTATAAAAACAAAGATTTTATTTAATACATACACCTTCAGTGCGTTTGTTTACAGCTCAGCTGTTGTTTGTTTACAATTTACATAATAATATTGTAACGTATATTTAAAATTTTGGTAATTTCCCCTGTGGGAACTTTATTTTTAAGGGTTGCATTCAACATATTTTGCCTTAAATGAGCTGATTTATTGCTAATGAGCTGCTTTATAGTAAAGCTTCTTGTATGGATTTACCATACATCCTCATTAGTGGCTATAATGAACAAAATCGCATAAATGAGACAGTGTGAATATGCAATTAACTAAGCTAAAAAGGATGAATGCTCTTTGTATGGCTAATTAAACTTAATTAGCGAGCTTAAGTAGATAAACTGGTCTAATGAAGGCAGTGGAAACATATAATATTATAGACCAGAATGCATATGGAAGTTATTTTCCCTCACTACCTATTTGTTAATATTAATATTATTAATGTTTGTATATACGTTATTACAATAATTGTTCTCAATTACATTATGAGACCATACTATGTTATATATGGTATTTCTCTACAAAATATATTTAAAAACTGCTTATTACATTGTAACTAATTAGTGATAATGTAAATTTCCTAGTACAATGAAACAGGAAATAAAATAAAATATGATAGCTTTAAAGCTTGATAAATTATTGTTACTGAAAGCTTTAATAAATTAATGTAATAAATGAACAAGTAAATGCATAATATATTTATATACATATGCGAAAAATAAACGAGTTTCATATTAAGTACATTAATATACACAATTTGATATTAATACTTATTATTAAAATATATAGTAATTAAAAATAAAAAGAATGCGAAAAAACTGTTCCTTATATGAAATAATCCATCACAGAATTTTGACGTGCGCTAGGTATTAAGTATTCGTTATATTTGACATCAATGTTAATAAATTTAAAATAATTAATAATTTTAATTAGAGCACAATATATTCCTGTTGAGTCTTTTTCAAGTTAGTACATCTGGGCACTTTTACTCTTTGCTATCTGGGGGATTTCTGCAGAGTTCCACCCTTCTCATTGACTTATTTATGTATTCCTCAAAAACTTTGTGTTTATTCGATGACCGATCTGCGCACCGCCCCGTGCGGTTAGATATTATTCTGAGATTAGATAGTGCTAACTAGAGCAGCCTGTCGGTTTTTGCGAATAGCTTCCGAGCTCTGTCCCTTATGTATTTTCTGACCCGCTCTATTCTAAGGTCTACAGTTGTAATATAGTAGATCACTCGTCATATTGGATAGTATAAAAATTTTTAAACCATTCACAATGATAATTACAAATCACGATATATTATTTATAGTAAATAGTCGGCTTTTCGCAGACTCTTACGAAATTCAATTTTACCGCATTAAGATTACTAAAAAGTGTTGAATAAATGGTAAATGCAAAATTAAAGTTTAGACTGTCTTGTGGGTACGTCAAAAATACAGCCTCAAAACTTCCTCAAGTTTTAATGGGCAACTAAAGAAATATACGCGTTGGTACCGTTGTTATGACCGTTAGTTTAGTGTGGTCCAACTTTTATTTGATGCAGTTACCTGTCAATTGTTCAACTTAAAATGATTTGGTTTAGCTTATAACAAGAACAGCAGGAACTTATAATGTACATGATTCTTTTAGTTCAAATAAATTAGCAATATTTTCTTCCGTATCATCAACGCCGGCTTTGCAACAGTGTGGATACCCTTAACGTGCTTCAACCATGTTTTTCCATACCACATAATCGTACAAAATACATTTTATGAAATATAAATAAATAATAAATAATATGGTTTTGTTTCAACAACAATTTCCATAAATTAATACCATTCAGTCAATTTTTTTTTGCCCACTGTTTATAGAAGAATACAATAAAAGATATATGAGATGTTGCCATTTAAGTGGAACAGAGTTTTTCTAAACACATTTAACCACAAAGAAAACTTACTGTCCTTCGAATTAATACCAGAGTGTCAATTTTTAAGGATTTATTAACATCATAGGATGTTTTATAGGTATAGATACAGATATGGGTATAGGATTTTCCGATCTAAGAGCTGATATTTTTTCTCAGACAGTTCGTTTGTTGAGCTGATAACACAGACCATGATAACCCATTAGATAACCCAGTAACAACCTGACCTTGTAATGAGGAAGGACGCACTATCGTACATATACAAACAACTCAGCTAATATAGTGGATACCTGAAATATTGCGCCCAGATATATTGTGTATAGTAAACACATATTGATGTTCTCTTTATAACTAGATTTAAACAGTTGTTAACTGTTGATAGATCTTTCTTTACTTTTTCAGAACTCCATTGAATTTTTATTTTTCCAAATCAGAATCAATCGATATAGGCCAAACAAAAAATTTTGTTTAGTTTCAGAACAAACATCAAATATGGTTTTTAACTGTAGACTAACCGATTTAAAACTCCAGAATTTAATGTATCAAGCCATTTTATAAAATTACACGCAATCTTTTTTTTAGGTAACAAATCCAGGTCATTTTATTTTGGATCTGTAAGCATAATAAGAATTTTTTGCAGATGAATATGTAATTGACATTACTAAACCACTATACCATTACTCTATTATTGTAATACTATGTTTACTCTTGGACTTACAGAACCTGTTTACCGAATTATTGTATGAATTTTGTGTGTGATTATGAAAAATAGCACATATTGCTGTAAATTTGTTGAATTAAATACAATAGTGTAAACAGAACACACAGCTGTTATTAAAACATATAGAAAGGTTTAAAATCTCCAACATTTTTATTACAAATCTGGAGAGCTACACAACATTTACTGACTCATCAGCACTCTGACTAGCGGATCTCGAAGCTATTTTTTACTTTAAATTTATTAAAAATTAGTAAAAATTAGAACAAATTAAGTATTCGACTTTAAACTTAGTTAAAAAATTTATATACTCAAGTACTGGTAACAATTAATCTAAATTTGAAATTAATTATTATTCTTGATAAGATTCTGATTATTTTTTCGTTAAAATATGTATATCCCAATATAAATGGAAATCAAATATGACAGATTCTTAAAATGATAAACATGCTAAATTTGATATATCAAAAATATTTAATTAATCGATGTTTTATGATTAATATCAATTAAATAACTATAAGTAGCCCATAACTTATTTTTATGGTTTCAATAAAAAAAGGAACTGAGTATATTTTAGCTTTCACAGCTGAGCACAAGAGGGCGTGGCGTAGTCTTGAAAAACGTTTTGATAAAATCCAAATAGTGCGCTTTATCAAATACGTGCTTTAATGATTCAAATACTTTTATTTGTTTTTTAAGTCTAATTATGAATGTTGACGAATGTTGAATAATAACAATAATAAGTAACTTAAAATATAAAATGGAATGAAATAAAGTTATAAGCTCCATAAAAATATAAATTCAAAATAAAAAAATTTGTAAAAAATATCAAAAGTCATACTTGTACATTCATTTAGCATTTCATTTCAAGCGTTAAAGTTAATTAACTATTTCCATTAATCATGAAGGGTCAAAGTTTGTTTTTTTAATTTATTTTGAGCAGCAGAAACGTTTATACAGATGTTTTCTAGAGTAGTTTTTTTCACATTATTTGATATTATTTTTTCTGGAGAAGCAATAATTTTGCTTATATTCTATATTCTTCTAAACGTCATTTCAAACATAAGTAAAGAATGTATTTACCGGGGTCATATACCCCGTCATTGACAACATATGACTTCACTACAAATACCTTTTTACCTTGAAATGTATCTAGTATATTATAAACACAAGTATCATAAAATATATCTAATAAAGATTTTATAGATTTATACTTTAATACTAAAATTAAATGCATAATTTGTTTTAATATAATTAACTAAGTAATTTAGTTAACTGAAATTGTGGACCATTTTGTAGAAAAAGATCCAAATTTTGACAGAAGTTCAAAATCAAGACGGGATGTTATAGATAACGCAAAAGGAAAACGCAAACTACATTAGATGCCTTCTTGACAAAAAGGTAGAAAATTGGAAACACAGAATAGACAAAATGATGATATTTTTGATATAAATTAAATGATAATACCAAAAACATGAAAAAGTTTTAAGCATTAAAATATTTTAATTATCATAAAATCTATAAAATTAAGCCAAAATAAACTTCATATTATTTTAATTTTTTTGACTTTGTAACGGCCAAAATTTTGTCAACCAAAAATTTGATCGTTACAACGTCGTGGGTATAGCTGTCTACTAAACACAACACGACCACCTAACACACAACAAGTAACACTCACTCGAAGGTTCCTGTAATAAAAATTGTTAAATACTTATAAAAACATTAAGTTAAACCAACTCACCCCAATCCTCTGCCACCAACAACGTGACTTTGAATTTGACAAATCTTAAAATTGTATGAAAATCCTTGGTTAGTGCGTGAACAATTTTTGAATAAATAAGACACATATCTTGAACTATCGTTGGGTGTTCTATTTTGCTGGAACTTTATTGGAAAATAAAATAATTTTAAAATAATTTTCTAATTAATAGAATTAAATACACACGTTCACCGGCACAACACATTGCTAACAAACAAACGAGAGCAAAACAAAATAATAGTAAAGAGACCTGTCAAACGAAGAAAGCTTTGTGCAGAAAAGGTGTAGAAGTGGATCACAACTCAGACAAAAACCACTTCTAAAAGGTACTCAAAGAAATGTAAATTCGCCGTGAAACTAAACTTTCGCTCAGTGCGGTACAGAAAAGGAGCTTTAATGT